ACACATCACACAAATGTAAAGTTTTTCCTCTCTTCAGACATCATTGTACTTCAGTCTTTAACAGAGGGTGGACAGACTGACAGTACTGTCATGAACCTACTCGTGCACTCCTTTGGCTACAGCACTTCTTTTATACCATACAGCTGATTGGCTGATTGCATGTGTTTAAGTTCAGGCCTAACTTTACTTCCCAGCCATTCACACAGCCTTTTTTCATAAAGAATGTCTTTAAGAAAAAAGGCTATGCTCGCAACTCTCATACCTCTAATCTAGTTACATATGAATACATTATTGTTTAGCATTAGTTTCACTTTCTAAAAGTAAGTTAAACAAGCTAAACAGGAATAAGTTCCATAAACATGGACAAAGAACATTTTATTTGCCTTAGCAACCAAACATTAGACGTTCAGTTTTTTGTTTTTTTTTAAGTATTTATTTTTTCTAAATGAGATTCATCAGAATAGTGCGGCTAAACACATCTGAGGTTAGTTGTCAATTTGAGCTGTTTGGAGGAGTCTTTCCTGTAATTTCATTACATGCCTCCTGCTTCAAATGATTAACGACACGCAGATTCACACAGATTTTTTTTACACAACAGACATTGTCAAATAGTGTCCTGAGTGTTGCTTTCCATCTGGTCCAAATACTTCTGTAGATAAAAAAACCAAAACAAAATCAGACTTTTAATACAAAACAACTCTTAATAGTTTGAAACACATAAAACTAAGTGACCTGCTTAAGAAAAGATATACTCACAGCAGGCAGTCATGACACACGTGCTTCACCAAATAATCTACCATGAACAAAAGAAGCAGCTCGTGAAGCAAATGAAGACTTAGATTGTACATTGAATTGCAGTGTTCCAGTTATCTGTGATAAATGCAGTGCTTTTCCTGCTTTAGGAAAAGTCAGAGAATCACCAAAGTTATTACAGTCTGTTATCTGTGGATCATGAATAAGTGTGTTTAAAATGCAAATGGTTTTGTCGTTATTAAAGGTGAATTAATAAAGTTTTTATAACACATTCAAGGGTCATAGAAGTTAAAGCCGAACATCTTTATAAAGCTTTCAATTCTTACATCTCGACGACATCTGGGTGTCAAGGTGGGCTGCAAGAAAAAATTAAAGAGCTTGGCTCCATCGCTGACAACTTAGATAAGGTAAGAAGGTGTGGATATATTTATGGATATATGTATATCTGTGTCCATGGGTTCCCTTTTAAATCATTTTCTTTTTCAGGTTTCAAAGGGGACAAAAATTGCTGGCATCACAGGAGGCGCTACAACTGTAGCAGGAGGTGTGGCAGCAGCTGCTGGGGTGATCCTGTCCCCGTTCACGCTGGGAGCCTCGCTGGCACTAACTGCTGTCGGAGTCGGCGTGGCTGCAGCTGGCGGTGTTACTGGTGCATCAGCAGCCATCGCAAATAAGGTGATGGTCTTTAAGGCACTGGCTTGATTAAATTCTGCTGTTAAAAACAATCGCAGCTTTTCTTTATCACTTTCACACTCCAGTGATGCATCTGAGTTTTTGGGCTTCAGTATCTTAGCCAAGAACCCTTCTCCCCACTGTCTAAGTGTTTGCTGTCATAGGGGACCGTTGGAGTTCCAGGACTTCAATCTAAAATGCTGAATGTCTTCTTTTACAATATAAAGTCTCTCGAGATCAAAAGCCCTGTTTTTATGTTATCACAATTTTAAAAAATGGTACTAACTGAAAACTACCCACACTAGTTATCTGAATTTCTGGTATTGAACTGATTGTGAAGCATGTTTTTCCAGGTGAAATGCAACCAGGACCAGAAGAAAATTGAGAAGATCTTTACTGACTACGAGTCCCTCAGTAAGGGCATTCAGGAGAAATTGTTTTATGTTAATGAGGGCATAGAGCAGCTAAGGCAGCATGGTGTGTCCACGCTTGAGAACACAGAGGTGAAGTCAGAGAGGGCATCCAAGGTGCTGGAGTTCTGTGGTCAAGGAGGTGCATGTGCCACGGCCTTGGAGGCAAACTCTAAGGCGTCTGGGATGATAGAAGGCTTCGCCCTCGGCATGGATATGTACTTCACCAAAGGAAAAGATGGAACCAA